TAAATTTACTAAGTTTCTAATAAAATCTCAAATTATTCAACTTTTAAAAAAAATTTTAAAAAATATAATTTTAATAGGGCGTATAATTACTTCAGTGCCACCATGTTATTTTATTTGATTTAAATTTTTAGTTGAGCATGATATTTCTTTTTCAGATTTTCTTACGAATTTGGCTATAGAAATATTCACGCGCCTTATTAAAATAACATAGAAACACCAATTATTTTGAGAGTACTTTTCTTTAAGTTCTTATTTAGCTATTTCTTATGGAAATATTGGTTAGAGGGGTAAAAAATTCTTAACTCTCATGTTCTAAAAAAAGCATGACTTTTTATTTTACTGATATTTGCCACGTTGGAATTCAATGGTAGGACGTACATTTTTATGATGGATCATCCACCTACCTAACTGATATCAAAGGCTTTAAACTAACACAGAAAATCTTACTACTACTACTAGTGTTCAAAGATGGAAAAATATCGCACTTTTGTCCAATCATATATTATTTTTAAGGTCAAAAGTATATTCAGCAGACCTTACCACTAGACTAACATATAGGAGTAATAAAACGGATCTGACCTGCGGGGCAGACTAAATTTTTAGGCTCTCATTCTCTAATATATTCGTTTCACTCCACTTTGTTTTTTTTCCGAGCTTTTGCGGATATAAGCATTTACATAAATTTTTGCATTTTTAAGCTTAAAAGTGGGTTTTTTTTCCCGCCCCGCCCTTACTTTTTTGCAGGGTGGGCCTAGGTTTTAGGCTCGCATCCTCAACTATGACCGCCCCGTCCCATTTTTTTCGTGCTTTTACGGGGCGAGCATGCCTGTTTGCCACCCCTACTATCATATATTCAGGTGCAGGAGATTCATGTCTCAAGCACATCTAACAGTCATCTGCGTTCCACTCCTGAAAGATAGCGAGACAATTATTTCTCCCCTACATATATGGAATGACAATATTTCAGGTAATAAGTTTCAAACACAATTTAAATATTCTCTACTTATTCACATATTGATTTGAGCGTCAAAGTGCTAACCTTGCAAGTACGCATCTACTTCGTCGCAGCTTCCGCAACTCTATATATTTCTGGTTCCATAATGGAGCACCGGTGTCGTTTGTGGGAATCGAAATCTGATTCTCGCGTTCTCACGACTTTGTACCTCTGTGTGAAAATTTTGAATGTAAAGTTCTCTTCGAGGCATGAACGAAAATCCAAAAACCCACACACAAAATTCGGTTATGACCGATCAATTCAAATCTTACCACCTTTTGTGATCTATCAATTTTCTGGATCTTCAATTCTCTATATATCTGACTTCTTTGATATGTGGAAATGGTTGGATCTAGAGCTACTTGTTCCGCTACCGCATGCGAAGCCGCTTTAGCCATTACTAGTGTGGCACCGACTGTTGGCTACAACAAAACATGACTCACCTCCCTCCAAGCGAGACGAATCTTAACGTCGTCCACATCCAGATTTGATTACCCCTCATCCACGAACAAGAATTGTTCAAACGCAACAAGTTGGAGTTTTGACTTCTTACTTGTTGAGCAACCTGAGATGCAGCACAATTTCAGTAATCTCGGGAAAAGCCTATGTGCTCAAGGCGCAAATGAATTACTCAACAGTATCATCAACCTCGTTCAGCAACGAAACTCTAAAGCAATCGAAGAAAGATTCCTTCGCCTGGAAGAAAGCCTCAATGACACCTAACCCTGGGAAAACTTAGCACCGAAGGTCATATCTAGGAAGGACCGCTTCATCCTCCTGGTGTCGTCCGTAATGAATGGAAGCAAAGTCCAGAAATCAAAAGACCGTTTGAATGGGTGGGAAACACTATCCCCCCTCCCCCCACACACACACAGTCCGGGAAAAATCGGGGGCAGTCATGTTCCATCCTCGGACCTTGGCTAACACCAGTTAGTCAAGGTTCAACCTAAGCATACCTTGTGCTCTCGGATCCTAGAAAGCAAGATCCCAAATTGATGCAAAACCCTCATAAATTAGGGGAGTATGATGGAAAAGGAGACCCTGACGAATATGTCTAACTCGTCAATGACCTGCTCAATTACCACAACGCTGATGATGCTTTCAAGTGCAAGTTACTAACATTAACATTGATTATACTAGCCAGACTATGGTTCAATAGCCTCCCCAATGGTTGCATCGGATCATGGGCACACTTCTACGACTGCCTCACAACCCATTTTACTACCTAGAAAAGGCAACCGGTTATTATGGCGGCCATGGGCAGAATAATGCAGGGAGCAAAGAGAGAGCCTATGATCGTATATTGATCGATTCACTTAGGTCGCAGTAGAGGTTGAAGAAGACGAAGCCCTCAAATGCTAGATCTTCGAGAATGGCCTCCTTCGCGACCATCCTTTTTGCACCAAGTTGGAACAGAAGAAGGTAAATACAACTTAAGAAATGTTATATCTGGACCAACCATATATCACGCTGGAAGAGAAATTAAATACTCGTTTTGACAACCTAATCCCGACCACCAATGTGAGTTCTGATCGCCGACGAAGGTGGAGCCTAGTAGGCAGAGACGCCGACAAAGGGATGTGCGGATGATACGACAAGTACATCCTCTGGTATGTGTCATGAGAAAAAGACTTACTTAGAGTGTGCTAACACTAAGTTCCAAAAATTCGAAATTTGGCCTTCAAACCCTGTTTGGGAGTCTGGTCGGACAGATAAATTAAAGTATTTTCATTTTCCACATGAGGCATGATCATAACATGAATGATTTCATCCAACTTAAAGATGTGATTGAAGTGTTGATTAAGAAAAGACGACTGTCCGAATATGTCAAAGGCGATAAGCAAGACCGAGATGAATCTCCAAAGGCCAAGTCCCCTTTAAAGGATTCTAAAGCCGAACTCAGCAGTGATAAGAGGGACACCTTCAAATTCAAATTCCCTTGTATCGCTTTCATTACCAGCGTGGCACCCCGGGCAAACCTCGCTTCCAAGGGAATAGTCAAAAGAAAAGTCACGGAAATGATGTCTGTTTACAAAAATGATGATAGTTTATCACCCAAAGCCTCCAATTAACCTATGTTAGGGTTGAAAATACAATCACATTATCGTATAATATTGCTTACTTGTTTTGTTGTTTTTGCTAATTTGAATATATTTGTTATAGTTTATTTGTATATGTGTACTTTGTTTGTGTATTTCGATTGTATTATAATCGCTTTCGTATTCTGTTGTTGTACCATGGATACCCCTTTCTACTAAATAAAATAAGAGTGTTTTATCCTTAATAATGATTCTTTTTAAGACTAGCAAGTTACATTTTTATCATTATCACTAGTTAGAGCTCTTAAATCAAAATATTGAGTTACTTAATTTGAATCAAGTGTTAAATATGATTTGAATTAGGAACCGTGTGAAAATTGAGATTTTTCTCTTAATGAATTGATTTGAATTACCAAATGAACCTAGTTCAAATCACAACTTAGCATAACTTGAATCAAGTGTTAATCCTAATTTTAATCAAATGTCTTCCTGAAGCTATATTGTTTCTTGCTCATATTGAACTGAATCAAGCATATAACTTGATTTGGATAACAAAATCTTGTGATTTGAAAAAAAAAAAATTATTCAGATTTTTAAAAGACCAATATCCACTTTTATGCATTTTTATTGCATTTTTTCTAAATGGGCTAAAAACATAAGATTTTAAAAAAAATCAATATGATGCATTTTTCATAATTCCCTAATCGTTTGATTTTTTACTTGCGGTTAGGGCTGGCAATGAACCAAACCAATTCGAAGATAGTTCGGAATTCGACTCGACAATTAAATCGTTGAACTAGGTTCATGAACCAAATGAGTTGAGTATGAGCGAAAAATTAAGTTCGTTAACTAAATGAGTTGAACTTAAACTATACATAGTTCGACTCGTTAGGTTCATGAGTCAACTCGATTACATATGAAAAGAATTATACTGTCTTTAAGATTGGTTTAAATATTTACTTCAAATCTTAGACAAATTTAATCTTCAATTTAGTAGTTTTTGAATTAGACTCTCAAATGTATCTCTTGAAAGTTGTGTAGATTTTGAATTAGTAGATTTCGAAGATAAAGTTAAATTTCAATATGACAACTTTTATTTTATTTTAATATTTTATTTAAAATATATATATATATATATATATATATATTTATTTAAAATGTCAAATATACTAAAAAATATATATATTTAAAAAAATAGTTTTTAAGTTCGTGAACCATGTGAGCTGAACCTAATGAGATGAACCTAACGAGTCGAACCGAACTGTTCGTGAACTTATAACGAGTCGAGTTTGAGCTTAAAAAAAAGTTCGTGTCAAACTCGAATTCGAACTCGAATTCGAACAATTCTTAACGAGTCGAACCGAGCTGAGGTGAGTTCGACTCGACTCAACTCATTTCCAGCCCTACTTGCGGTATTCATTATGGACTGTATAAAAATTTTCGTAGAAAATACATTGCATGTATTTTTCTGCTAATTTCTCAATATATGCATTGTAAGTATTGTTACTAGATTTTTAAGAGATCGGTATCTACTTTTATGTATTTTTTTGCCGTATTTTTTAAATATCCGATAAAAAATACGTACAACATTTTTAGCATCACTACCGGATGTTTCTCTTTTGAGTAAAAAATTTATTAAAAAAATAAAAGAAATATTTGTGACATTATTAGAATATGTGAAGGGTCAGGTATAACTTTAGGGGTGTACATAAATTCTTCTTCAAAGCACAAGCAAACAAGCCCAAGTAGATATAGGCCCATTTGTTTTAACCCAAAGCTAAAACCAAATCACACGCGTTTTCATTCCAATGATGAACCATTGTATGGTAGGTTCGTTCACCAACTCCCGTGGGTCCCACTCACCAACCACTCCACTAACTTTTTACTTTTCCAATTTTTTTATTTATATATTTTTCTCCAATATTATTCTCATTATCCTCTTCCTTTTCCATCTCAATCGCTGAAAAATGGCACAGCAATCGGAATCGGAGATTCCCCCTAATTTCTGGGGCCACATGCCCGAAGAGGAGTACTACACCTCCCAAGGAGTCACCAACACCAAATCCCACTTCGAAACCCCCAACGGCAAAATCTTCACACAGTCCTTTCTCCCACTCGATGGCAAAATCAAAGCCACCGTTTACATGACTCACGGCTACGGCTCCGACACCGGCTGGCTCTTCCAAAAAATCTGCATCACATTCGCCACCTGGGGTTACGCCGTCTTCACCGCCGATCTCCTAGGTCACGGCCGTTCTGACGGCCTCCGTTGCTACCTCGGCGACATGGACAAGATCGCATCCACCTCACTTTCTTTCTTCCTCCATACCCGCCGCAGTCCTCCCTACACCACCCTCCCGGCGTTTCTCTTCGGGGAGTCCATGGGCGGTTTAGCCACATTGCTGATGTACTTCCAATCAGAACCGGACACGTGGACGGGTTTGATATTCTCCGCGCCGCTTTTTGTGATCCCCGAGGATATGAAACCTAGCAAGGTTCATTTGTTTGTGTACGGTCTCTTGTTTGGTTTGGCGGACACATGGGCGGCTATGCCTGATAACAAAATGGTTGGAAAAGCGATTCGCGATCCGAATAAGCTGAAGATAATCGCTTCTAATCCGAGGAGGTATACGGGCCCACCTAGAGTGGGGACCATGAGGGAACTTCTTAGGGTTACTCAGTATGTGCAAGATAATTTCTCTAATGTAACGGCGCCGTTTCTTACTGCACATGGAACTGCTGATGGGGTCACGTGCCCTTCTTCTTCGAAGCTTTTGTATGAGAAGGCTTCATCTAAGGATAAGACTTTGAAGCTTTATGATGGGATGTATCATTCTTTGATTCAAGGGGAACCTGATGAGTCTGCTAATCTTGTGTTGGGGGATATGAGGGAGTGGATTGATGAGAGGGTGAGAAGGTATGGGCCAAGTAACAATTCTCTGTAAAAATAAAATAAAAAAATAAAAAAAAGTCTGTTGTATTTTTATTCATATAATTTTAGTTTGGAATAACCTGGTGTTAATAATCACAAGATTTGATTAAGGACTAATGAAATGGTCATGACTGTATTGAAATTATTGTGATATTTGCAGTTCAATATAATGTTTCACAAGTTAAGAATTTCAGAAACATTCATTGATCATGCTATTATTTGACTACAAGTCAACCAGGTCAATATACGTCACAAAATATTTAAGAGTTGGATGAGTGTATATCATTCTTGTTGGAAAAAAGAGTAGAACTCAAGTCTTCAATGTTACGGATTAGGATTGTCTCTGGTGCACCCGAGGAAATAAAGTGGAGTTTCTCACCATTGATTCTTTTTAAAGTTGCTTTTATTACTTAATTGAAAAAAAAAATGAAGGGATGTGATATAATTGGAGATGAAGTTCACGGGAGACAATTTCCTCCCCAATGTTACAATGGAATAATTTATTCTTTTGCTTCAAAAAAATTTCAGTGAAGCTGCTTTTACAGAGTAGAAAACACGAAAGAACATTTCAACGATACTCTTGAACTCGTGCTTCTCTTCAACAACACTTCAAAATCTTTGGTAGTTCTGATAGAAATGTCAGAAGTTATATTCTCCGTCAAGGCCAAAAGTTAAAAGTTATATTCTCTGTCAAGGCCAAAAGTTAAAAGACATGGCAGCAACTAAGAATGTAAACATAATCAAATGGGTAACTGTAGTAACAGGGTAATTGTAATTTGTAATAACATTCAAATAATCAACTCAACACAAGGTAGCTCAAGAACAGTGGAGAGAGAAAGATAATGCTTGCACTTTTCTATATAGCATCAACACATATTTATACAAAAACAGAGAGACCATTCAAAACAAGAAAAATGAAGACACTAAAAATAGGATTAAAAACTTTTCTTATGAGGTTGCCTCATATTTACATTTGTTCCAAAACTTACTTAATAGAGGAAGGGGTGGAATTACAGATCAAAGAAAGGCTAGTATACAAAAACAATGGGTGACTTTTTGTACGCCGCACAACAGTTACTAATCTAAAATCTGGTTGTGCATTTTGGGATATATACAAAAGGGTGGCGACACTAACCCGTCACTAACCAAGCCAAATAACTTATAATGATTTGGGAAGTATTCTGTTAGAGGAATCCTCGGGAACACATAAATGTGAGCTTGATAAATCTTTTGTAGCATCAAGGTTTAACAAAGGTTTAAGCCTTCTATGAACCTCATCACTCACAAAATTGACCTCTTCAACGATCATCTCTAAAGCAGAGTTGCAAGACTCCACGTCCCTGAACGCCAATGTCCATCTTCCATCAACCAAACTTTTTGTTTTCATTTTCCCATAATCATTTGATTTGGCAGGATCTTGAAAGGGTAAAGAGGATGACCGGATCCGCAAGTGTAACCATGTTGAATGTGTATCATCAACCCTGGGCTAAACAAGGAGGACAGATATTAATATTATTAATCATAAGAATATTATACAAAGCTAAAACAATAATGCAAGAAAATGTTCCAAATACATTACATTTTTTATTCTGTATGCAAACCAACAAAATTGATTGAAAATTATTGGGGAAATTTTTTAAAGAAAATTAGTTTAGAAAAACTGACCAATTATGTAAGTACTAATTATTGTACCAATGAACATATAATCATCAACCAATGGAGGGATGTTATTCCTAAGCTGAGGTCATGTTTGCAAATAATTGTGTGCCATGATTGCCAACTAACCAAATGAATTGACTCAAGGTAAAGAAGAAAAGTTATGGGATAACACATACATTGCACCCAGCCAAAGGTGCAACAACCCGAACGATTCCACGGGACTTCTGTGATGGTAATTCTTCTGCAAGAACAAGCCAGCCAGATACTCCTAAAGAGATTGCCTGAAAGCAAAGATGGTGTTCTTTGCCACTCTTGAAAGCAATTCTACAAGGCACAGCATTAACTGCAAAAGCAAAATAAGAAAAATTCAAAAATAATAAGTGGATTTATAACACAAGATGATATAGAGTATTTGCATATAGCTTTCCTATACTGCCTGGAGTGGATTTACAAATAATAAAGAATCAAACTGAAAAATATTACTGTATAGACATACTGTAAAAAAGAACAACCAAGAAAAAAAGTCAAAGCTAAAAGTAACTGCAATTTTATTAATGAGGAATTACTTAGAAGACTAGAATACTTCCTTCAAATTTTAGAAGGAGCAATTCTCTCTTTTGTTGCCTGCTGCCAGAAATTAATAAATATACAATTCACATTACACTTTTGCCACCTTGTCCTTAGAACCACCCTTCAAAATACTATTAACACTGTTTCATATTATGTATCGCATTGGGAATATTTATTTGTCATTTTATATTATCAATACAATATTTATTACTTTTAACCAATGGATACCGTTTATTTGTTAAAGTAGTTGCAAGTATATGGTGGACAAATAATAAATGAAGTATAAAGTTATTTTAGTTTTAACATAATTTTTAATGAAAATTGGTATAAGTGATCATTTTTATTAAAAATTGTGCATATCCCAATGAGACACATAATATGAGATGGAGGGAGTATTTGTTAAACTCCATAGTCTTGCACAGTAGCAAAAATGCAACTAGTTCCTGTATTCATTACTGAATAAGGATTGGACCAAACTTTGCTAGTATACCTATCTGCCCTACGCCTAAGCAAATACCTCAAATTAAGTAATACCGGTATAAATGATACGAGAAACTTCAGTTCAGATGACGAACCAAGGCTGATTTCAGTGCCTGCCTTTGGGCCTGATACATCAAGCCCATAAGTCTGGGCACGGCAATTTGCGGGAAGATCACCGGGAGGGTGAATTGGAGGTTGCTCAGGTAAAGCTCTCCCAAGAGTGAATAACTGAAGTTGGTGCAGTAGTACAAATACCTAAATGAGAAAGGAAACAACAACAAAAAAGTCTTCACTGTCTAAAGGTACACAATCTATAAATAACCAGAATTGAGAATGGCACAGTATTCAAAAAATTTATGCCAATCTGCACTTGAAAAAGAATGTGTGCTGGGGGTTTAAATAAGCACTAACCTTCACCAGTTCCTGCATTCTTTCTCCCGCAGAAAATGATGATCCCTTTGGAGTGTTATCTGTAGGAACAATAAAGATATCATTATAAGGCCTCCTTACCATTTTTTCCTAGTCCATAACAACGACAACCAACCAATGGAAATATGAATGTTGATGGGTAGAGGAATACCCTCTAAAGAAAATTTATGTGGATGTGGCTGCAAAAGCATAGAGTTTGGTCCTTTTGGAGGAGATGATGATTCCATTGCTGCAGTTACAAAATTTTCTAGGTTATATAGTTCAAACACACAAGTAAACCTCAAACACAGCAACAGCCAATCAGAACAGTATATCATATAAAAATCACCTCTTTTGCACTTCCGCCATTCATCAGATAGAACAGAAATAAGTAAGTCGGTCCAGATGCCTTTAGCCTCCTCTACAAGAGCAGAAGCACAGGTCTTGTACGAAACCTGTATTAGAGTAGAAACTCGATATAATTGCGTTAGGAGAGGCAAAATAATGTTTTTCCAGAATAAATCACCTCTTTCACATTCTTAGTGTATATGATCTTGGTTACAAGTGTGGTTGTTCTATTGCAGGCATGTAGCAATGAGGAAAGATGGGTTATCAAAAAGTACAATCTTTCAAACCACTGATTCATTACTTTTATAAGGACAATCAACACGGGTTAAGTTTTTTTTTTTTACATTTCTTATTTTCGTGTGCTTTAGTCTTGTATTCTCTGTCATCAACTCTTCATTTCTTTATTTTGACCTAGACATAAGTATTCTTTTAAGTTACATATAACGGAAGTCCTCAAATGGTAATGGTAAATACATATCAAGACCCATATGTTTCTTAGACTAGTATGTTTTGCGTATTGGTCGATTGTTAAGGATTTAAATTATTAATATATTTGAATAATTAAGGGTAAATAAAACACTGATTCAATTATATAATTGTATCGGTGTCTTTACTCAAATTGCCCAGCTTTCTCAAATGTTCTACTGAACTGATAATTTTACAAAATTAAGAGTAATTTTTATATCTTCACAGTAGCAAACGCCAATATTATGTAAGCTACAGACAAAACATGTGAATGTTTGTATTTTTGTAAGCATTATATAATCATAAAAGAAAATATTATGCTCTTGAGGGTATACTTAGAAAAATGACATGTCTTACTTTCAAAACTTCATGGTGATGACTGTTGAATTCTGATTCACTGTAAGGAAGCAACTGACGCAAAAGCCAACCACCGCCCCATAGTGTCTCTGCAGATATATTAGAGCGGCAAAAAAGGCTCACCAATGCATCAATCACCTGAAATCCAGGTACATCGTATATAAGCAATGAACTTAAACATACTTAAACATCACAAACTAAGACCGCACAGACTTCCAATTAAAGAAGAAGAAAACCATCCATGGGCAATGTTACTTATTTATAAGTGTATTATATCTTTGTGTGTGAAAAGAGAGATCCATGGTGAGGGGGTAACTCTATAGAAAACTGTATTTACTGTTTTCGTTTTTCAGTAATGCAGTTCCACTCTTTTGGTTCTCTATATCTAATTTCCATTTTGTTTTCTGATTTCCTATTTTTGCACTAATCTTCCTCTATTTGAGGCTCATATATCAGCTTCTTACTCTGCTTTGTACAGCTCCTTGCATTAGTTCTTTTTCACAAATCTATATCCTCTTTTTCCACTCAGTTCCTAAACAGATACCATCTAGACCCTGAAGCATCACCTAGTCACTGCATTTTGTCCTATACTTGTTATTTACAAATTTTCATTGCAACCCCTATGGTTGAAGTAGTGTCAACTCATTGATACATTATGCCACTATTACAATATTTACGATGCGGCTGCTTAAGTTGCATTGTATTGTAAATATATAATGTTAAGAATATTTGTATATAGAATAGTCCCACATTAACTATATCATATAATTAGCTGTAATCTTTGTATATATAATAATGTCTCCGTAGTGTTTTTCATAACACACGGTTTAATCTAAATGTCTCTTAGTCTCTCTTATTTTAACATTTAACGTGCCAGCGGCCGATTCCAACCGTTTTTTCACTGGTCTACTCGCCTCTCCCCATCCGTTTCAGATCCGGCTTCCGTTTTACTTTCCGACTCACAAAAGTGGATGATGTTCCCGCCGCCAAACTTGCTAAATGGAAGAAAACTGATGCATCTCTATGCACTGTGCTATGGTTTTCCATATCACCTAATCTCCAAACACAATACCAAGTCTTCTCCACTTGCTATGAGGTTTGGGAAAAGGCCAAGAAAGTCTTCTCCAACGATGTTCATTATCTATATAGTGTCATTTGCAAAATCAACACTCTAAAGGTGGAGAATATGGATAGGCAAGCCTATCTGAGTAAGCTCGATGCCTTGAAAGCAAATTTCGCCATCCTCATGTCTTACGCAAAAGATGCAACAGCTCATGCCGAACAACAAAGTAAAATTTTCATGATCATGGCACTTATCGAACTACCATCAGAGCTTGAGTCCGTTCGTAACCAGATTTTATCAGGTACTACTGTTCCTAACAATAACACAGTTAGTGAACAACTATTGGACTTGGCTATACCAAGTGCTTTTGGCTAGGTTTTCCCTCCGTATATTGTTGCTCCAACACCAGGTGACACTGCTACCCTTGCATCTGTTGGCAATAATCAGAATCGCTTTCGAGGAGGTTCATCCAATTCCAAACCTTGTCCCTAGTGTGACCATTGTAACCGGTTTGGACATACTATTGGTCATTGTTGGAAGTTGCATGGCGGACCTCAACACCAGGTAAATGCAGCTCAAATCGATCACCCAGACACCCTGCATACTTCACCTTCTCTTCAGAACTCTACGCCAAGCTACGGAGATTTTCTTAGGTGGTTTCAGACTAATCAGAACTCAGGTTTCACGACTTCGATTGCACACACTGGTAATTCATCTGTTTGTTTCCCTCACTCATCTCCTCTTGGTCCTTGAATCCTCGATTCTGGTGCGTCTGATCATGTTACCGGTAATAAAGGTCTTTTCTCTTCCCTCTCTACTTTTGGTTTCTTACCTAGTATAACTGCCTCAAATGATTCTCAAACCCGATCTCAAGGGATTGACACTGTTCAAATTCTACCATATCTATCTGTTACTTTTGTTCTATACGTACCTAATTGTCCATTTAACTTCCTGTTAGTTAGTCGTTTAACCCAGTCCCTTAATTGTTCTATCACCTTTACTAACAGTAATGTTACCTTGCAGAATCGGACTTCGGAGCAGACGATTGGCGTCGAATATGAGTCTCAAGGCCTCTACTACTTCTCTACGCCATCTACCACATGCTCCATCACAGACTCTCCACTCACTATACATGCGTAGTTAGGTCATTCAGATCTTTCCAAGCTGCAAAAGTTGGTGTCCAATTTATCTAGGTTATTCACTTTACATTGTGAGTCTTGTCAATTAGGGAAACATACTCGTAATCACATTTCCGATCGAGTCAATAAACGGGCCGCGTCCCCTTTTGCTTTAGTTCACTCCGATGTTTGGGATCCCTCGCGTACTGCGTCTACTTTTGAGTCTAGGTATTTTGTAACCTTTATTGATGATTTTTCACGTTGCACGTGGCTATTTTTAGTAAATAACATATCTGAATTGTTTTTTATTTTTGAACAATATTATCTAAGAAACCCAATTTGGTTTGTCTATTCATACCTTAAGAAGTGACAATGCACGTGAATATTTATCTCAACAATTTCAAACTTTTATGTCATCTAATGGTATTCTCCACCAAACATCTTGCCCTCATACACCTCAACAAAACGGAGTAGCCGAACGCAAAAATCGACATCTCGTAGAAACCACTCGGACCCTACTTCTCCATGGTAATGTTACTCTCCGATTTTGTAGAGATGTTGTGCTCACGGCATGTTATCTTATAAATAGCATGCCCTCATCTGTCTTAAATAATAAAATTCCTCATTCAATCCTGTTTCCAAACTCTCCCTTTCACCCAATTCTTCCTCAAGTCTTCGGGTCAACATGTTTTGTACACAATCTCTCTCCTGGACTTGATAAACTATCAGCTCGATCACTCAAGTGTGTCTTTGATAGAACAGAGGTATATATTAAAGAAAAGTATTTTATTAATTAATATGAAAGTAAAATAAATTCCAGAGCTATTGCTCCTCAGTCAGAGAAACTATTCTCTCACTGCCCAAACCCTAAGGTCAAAAACAGAAAATCAATTAATGCCTAACTACTGCCCCATACACTCCTCTTTATATGGAGAATAATCCCTAAACTAACTCCTATTTATATGGAGAATAATACCTAAACTAACTCCTATTTATTTGTGGAGTTTCCTATTCTTTCTCACATATACCCTCCATTGTTTAGGTCCAATAATATCTCTATTAACTAACACATTCCCATCATCATTTGTGGGATCCGATCCATTCCTATCATCACCCCCACCTACAACATTAGCCTTGTCCTCAAGGCGCAGATCAGGGAATTGACTCTTCAGCAACAGTTCCTCTTCCCAGGTAGCATCTCCAACATCCATCCCTTCCCATTGAATCAACCATTCTCTCTTATGTTGTCCACCATCAAATTTGTCCCTCCATGACACAACCTTAGCCGGAGTAATGTCCCCTTTTTCTGACTCTAAACTGATAGGTAGCTGAATTGTAGCAGTATAGTTGCCCACCGCTTTCTTCAATTGCGACACATGAAAGGTAGGATGTATTTTAGATGTTGGTGGTAACTTCAACTTATAAGCAACTTGCCCTATCTTCTTTATGATTTGATACGGACCGAAAAATCTAGGGGCCAGTTTTTGATGGATTCTTTGCACAACCGATTGTTGTCGATGAGGACGTAATTTGAGGAAAACCCAGTCACCCACCTCAAATTGCACTGCCTTGCGTTTCTTGTCAGCTTGGAATTTCATGTCCTCCTGGGCTTTGAGTAAATTAGTTTTTAATTGACGCAACGCCTCATCTCTGTCCCTTAACTCCTGTGCTACAGCTTCCACTCTGGTTTCACCCTCCAAAAAATGCACCAACACTGGAGGTTTTCTACCATATACCACCTCGAAAGGGGTGAACCCGGTAGACACGTGAAATGTGGTATTGTACCACAGTTCTGCCCATGGAATCCAGTGTGCCCATGTCTTAGGTTGATCTGCAATAAAACAACGTAGATAGGCCTCTAAACAACGATTAATTACTTCTGTTTGACCATCCGTTTGGGGATGGTATGCCGAGGACATTTTAAGCACCGTACCTACTAATTTGAACAACTCTTTCCAAAAAATACTCACAAACAAGGGGTCACGATCACTAAGAATAGACTCCGGAATGCCATGTAATCTAACCACTTCCTTCACAAAAACAGCAGCTATTGAGCGAGCAGTAAATGGATGTTTAAGAGGAATGAAATGGCTGTATTTGGAGAGACGGTCCACCACAACCAATATAGCTTCAAATCCATTACTTTTTGGCAAACAAGTGATGAAATCCATGGATATCTCACTCCACACCACAACCGGAATGGGAAGAGGTTGTAGTAATCCATTAGGAGTCGTTGCCGCATATTTTTGTCGTTGACAAGTATCACAAGCTTTCACAAAATCTTGCACCCTCCGCATCATCCCTTGCCAATATAAAGTTCCTGCCATTCTCCTATAAGTGCGTAGGTATCCGGAGTGACCCCCACTTGGAGAAGAATGAAAATCTTTGAGTAACTCCTCAATAAGTGGCGAGTTAGCCGGTATAACTAACCTATTTTTGTAGAATAAGATGCCACCTTTTAAAGCAAAACCAGGTTTAGCATTAGGATCTTTTTGAATAGCTTCCATAATATTTTTAAGCAAAGGATCATTTGATACTTCTTGTTGTAGTTGGCTGCTCTGCTGCCAAATAGGGTAGGATTTAATCGCTTGCATTTCAGCATTCTCGTGCTGTCTAGATAAAGCATCAGCCACTTTGTTTTCCACTCCCACCTTGTACACCACCTCAAAGTCAAAACCCAATAACTTAGCCATCCATTCTTGCTGATTTGCTGTGGTAATACGTTGTTGCAACAAGTGTTTTAGGCTCTTTTGATCAGAATAAACCACAAACCTCCTGCCTAACAAATAATGTCGCCAATGTTGAATAGCTAACACTAAAGCCATTAACTCCTTATCATAGGCAGATTTGGATAACCTAGATGAATCAAAAGCCTTGCTAAAATATGCAATAGGATGCTTCGATTGTAACAATACTGCACCAACTCCTTTTCCCGAGGCATCACATTCAATTTCAAAGGGGAACTTGAAATTAGGCAGGGCTAAAACTGGGGCAGTTGTAACAGCTACTTTCAATTTCTCAAAAGCTTCGGCAGCTGCCGGATTCCAGCTAAAACCATCCTTCTTTGTCAATTCTGTTAAGGGTTTAGCAATTTTTCCATAATTCGCTATAAACTTTCGGTAATACCCCGTCAACCCCAAAAAACCTCGCACTCCTTTGACATTCCTAGGAATAGGCCATTGTAACACACTGCTGACCTTGGCAGGATCAACAGCAACCCCTGCTTTGGAAATGACATGACCCAAATATTCTACTTGGTGCTGACCGAAAGTGCATTTCTTCCGATTTGCCACAAACTGATGCTGCTTCAGAATCTTAAGAACCACCTCCAAGTGTTGTAAATGTTCAGCCCAACTACTACTGTATACTAGGATATCATCAAAAAAAACCAGGACAAACTTCCTTAGAAAAGGCTTGAAAATTGCATTCATCACCGATTGAAAAGTTGCAGGAGCATTGGTGAGGCCAAACGGCATTACCAAAAACTCATAGTGACCCTCATGAGTCCGAAAAGCCGTTTTATGAATATCCTCTTCCTTCATCCGAATTTGATGATAACCGGATTTGAGATCAAGCTTAGAGAAATAACTACAGCCATGTAACTCATCTAACAATTCATCTACAACCGGAATAGGATACTTGTCCTGAATTGTGACCTTGTTGAGTGCACGGTAATCTACACACATACGCCAAGATTGATCCTTCTTCTTGACCAAAATGACGGGACTAGAGAACGCGCTGGTGCTGTTTCTAACCACCCCTTGTTGCAATAGGCTCTGAATCTGTTTTTCAATTTCATCCTTGTGTACATGAGGATATCTGTAAGGTCGCACACTTACCGGACCCGCACCCTGGAAAAGGTCAATTGAATGACTAGTGTTTCTTGACGGAGGAAGACCTTGGATTTCTTTAAACACAATAACAAAATGCTCCAACAATCCTTCCAACTCCCTAGTCTGTTGATCCGAGACACACGACACCGGTGAGCCTAACACCTCCATCAAGGTAGGCCATTCACAGCCTGCTATCATTCGAGAAGGAGTGATAATGCTTTGGAAAGTAGCCATCTTATCATCTACAGCCTGACCAAGTAGTTTCACCATCCTGCCTTTATGGTTGAACTCCATAGACATTTCTTTCCAATCCATGGTTACCTTCCCCAACGTTTCTAGCCACACAACTCCTAAAATCAAATCCACACCTCCTAACTCCAATACATAAGCATCAAAGCAAATCTGCACTGATCCCACTTTCATCTGAATTCCATTGCATCTACCCCTAGTTAGGACACGATGACCATCTCCTAACTTAACACCCAAAGGATTAGAAGGCACCATAGACAATCCCAGGGCTTCAACCACCTTAGGTGATATGAAATTATGTGTGGCTCCACTGTCAATAAGTACCAGAATTAATGCACCGTGTAAACAACCCTCCAATTTCATCGTCCGGACCTGATTTGGATTAGTGGATACACCAAACAGCCCGATGGTTTTACATTCTAATTCCTCTGGTGTGAGCTTTTCTTCCGTCGCAGCCTCCAATACCACAATCTCGCCTGCATCGTTAACAATTTCGTCATCCCCCAAGATAATCAATCGTAATTGTCTTGTTGCACATTGATGGAGAGGATCCCATCGTTCGTTGCAACGAAAACAGAGTCCTTTCGCACGACGCTCATTAACCTCTGCACTTGGTAGATGGCGAACACCACGAGATTGACGGCGTGAATTGTCACCTACATTTGGGCGAGAAGATGCTGTAGAATTGATAGGACGTGTTTGAGATCCAGAATCCGAACCAGTCCGCGTTTTGCCCAAAGAATTATTAGGTTGGGTCTGAGTTACAGATCCGTTCCCTTCCCCTTCGCGAAAAGCCCAAGTAGGCTTTTGAGATTTTGACCAAGAAGCATGACCCGGTTTGTAACGTGCTCCAGAACCCTGTCCAGAAGCCACTGCAAATTCTCTTTCAACATCACGAGCCAATTGCATTGCTAGGTAACGGTTGCGAGGCTTGAAGGTACGCACACGAGAACGAATATCATGACGTAAACCACCAATGAAGTAACCTAGAAACTGTTGTTCTGGCAAACGACCACACTGTGAAGAATACAGTTCGAATTCAGCAATATATTCCTCTACTGATCCCGATTGTTTTAGGTCCTTTAATTCCTCGAACGGATTCTCCAAACGCCCACCTCCAAATCGAACCATCATCGCCTCACGGAGGTTCTCCCATGACAATTCCTCTGTTGAATCATGCCATAGGTTAAACCAATGGATAGTAGGGCCTTCCATACTCAATTTGGTCAACTGAATACGAACATCCTGCGAAATTCGTTGTACCTCAAAGTATGTCTCTGCCCGAGTGATCCATGCAACCGGATCGTCACCGGTAAATGCCGGCAACTCCACCTTCTTCGCAGATAAACGAAACTCATCCAGCGGTGAGGAAACTGTTGCACTGCTTGGCTGCGGCACTTCACGATGAGCCATTGCACGTTGAATCTCAGCACCAATGAACTCTCGTAACGCAGCAATGCTAGCCTCAACACCTTCCAACCTTTCTTCCACTGCAGAAACACGGTCAGCCATCTTAGGAGCTTTGGGCATGAACAATGGTAGGTCGGACCAATTGATAGAACAGAGGTATATATTAAAGAAAAGTATTTTATTAATTAATATGAAAGTAAAATAAATTCCAGAGCTATTGCTCCTCAGTCAGAGAAACTATTCTCTCACTGCCCAAACCCTAAGGTCAAAAACAGAAAATCAATTAATGCCTAACTACTGCCCCATACACTCCTCTTTATATGGAGAATAATCCCTAAACTAACTCCTATTTATATGGAGAATAATACCTAAACTAACTCCTATTTATTTGTGGAGTTTCCTATTCTTTCTCACATATACCCTCCATTGTTTAGGTCCAATAATATCTCTATTAACTAACACATTCCCATCATCATTTGTGGGATCCGATCCATTCCTATCAGTCTTTCTTGGTTATCACCGATCCCAAAAGGGTTATCGTTGATATTCACATACTCTACAACGATACCTTGTATCAGTCGATGTTACCTTCTTTGAGTCTATTCCATATTTCGAGTCCAGCCAAGTAACTCCAGAACCCCTTCAAATAGTAACATATTTCGATGTTACCTTCTTAATCTTGCTTATTTCAAGAGTGCTATTAGCTACATAGTAATAGACTACAAATAGAAAATGTCACTTTGTCTCTTCTTTCTTACCTGTTGATATTTAAATTAAATAGTAATATAAATACAGGAATATTCTATTGTAATTAATGTCGTAGATTGTATATTGTACCAACTATGCGGTATACTTTATCGAATAACGCTTGAGCTTATGACTTGATTCTTCTATAATTACAAAGAGCCCAACCAAATTCATGTTTGAAAGCCAAATCAAAGTCTATTTTGAGGAAAACCTCTGGTTTGAGTTTTCCAGTACAGTGCAGAGTAATGGTTTTCACAAAATCTGCAATCTTACAAGTCCATTCCCATTTGTGATTTTCTGTCAGATACTTTTCCTTTAGTTTGTCTACTAAAAAATAAAGCTATATTTTTGTTGAAAAGCCTAAACAGGTCATTTGCAACAGGAACATCAGTTCCATTCCAACAAAGTGAACTAGAACACTACAAATTTGAGTGAGGTATGCAAATGCTGTTCAAATAGGGGTGAGCAAATTTGGAAACTATATGCATGGAACTCCTATACGCACGCCATAAAGAAGAACCATTGAGTATTCTAAGGTTACAGTTCCGTGTTCTTTATTAAGAAAAAGATGCCTACCATTTATCACTCAAAGAATTTAACATGCTATAGAGAAACTATTACAAAAAAACAATATGTTGGCAAGACCCATCTAGATACAAACATTACCTGAAATCTATTTGCATGAGAGCTAATTCCAACATCAGAAGACTGAAAAGATATTCCATACTGATCCTGTGGTACATGGAAAATGTAAAGAAGGCAGCATTTAAAAAAAAAAGATGCTAAAAAAATCTATACATTGGTAGTGAAAATTAAAATAGATAAATGATTTCTGAAGAGTAGAAGGAACTGAAAACCTTGATCTTTTTGTGATACACAGCAATATCACTACCAGTGCTATCCTTTGTCAAACTACTTTTAGAAGAAAAAAGTTCCTCTTCACCTGAACTCTCACCAACTAAAGCTTGCTGCACCAATATGCAATGTCAATCAAATGATATGTCAACAATAAATCAAATTAATCAGAAGTGACGTGAAGTCCCAACTCAGTGAGTTTATATCATTAAGTCAACCAGCCTTTAGGTTAGCCCAATCACAAGTCAGCTCTAAAGCAATAAAGGCAGCATAAGCAACTTTTTTTTTATCTCGTCTACTAACTTTTCAAAAAAGCGACTGTTTCTTTAAAACACGGCACTCATGCCACAGGAGCACTTTCCCCCTCACTTACAAATACCTCATCTTTGCACCTTGAACATATGCACGCACATCAATAGTCATTTACGCAACCCATATTACAGACTAAGAGCATCACATATCAGTACAAAGGCCGCCTAAGAAATCTCCTCCCACATCACATATGATATGTACTTACTGGAATCATTGTCTTTCATTGACAATGTTTGTGGTTGACCATGTTTCAACTCCAGTCCACTTCAAAACATGCTAATAACCCTTTTCTAGTGGTAAGGATGATATCATAGCCTTCATCATTACCACACACCACCTGCCGTCACTGTTTGCTTCAACCAGCATGTCATGGAAGTGTTAAAAAAGTGTACTATTAGGTTTAGATTTAGTGTAAATGTCTAGGTTCAATATATCATCATGTAAATAATGTGATTAGGAACATTGTGTCTTTATCTTCACTTTTCACTACATTAATTATATAAACTGATGGTAAGCAAATGTCAACTGCCAAAGGCTCATACGGAAGAATGTGGCATACCAATAAAAGCTTCTTATGTTGTTTGCGTTGTGGAAGAATTCCAAGCTCGTCTAGCATTGATTCATCAAGTTCTGAAGAACAAACTTTACTAAGTAAACAGAAAAGGATGCAATGGTAAAGAAATTATGTGAGTGAGTAGATATACAACCTTTAGTTTGCAGTAGAGTTGCTAGCACAGTCAAAGAACCCAATACTTGTATATCATCTCCTTTTACTACATATGAAAGCAAAACATCCCTACATCAACAGTATGAGTCATCAGAATAATAGTATTAGTAATAGTAATAGCAGTAGTAGGTGCAATCAATTCCTGTGTTGGACCAAGTGGACGGATGGATTGGTCCCCTTTGATTAGTCGGTCGCAAGGCCGGATACCAAGATTAAAAAAAAAGTAGTAGTAATAATAAGACATCTTATAAATAATGTTTAAAACACTAGAACAACTCTTTTTTTTAACGGACAAGTAAAACAATTCAACATTATAAGATGTTGAAAAAAATGTCTAAGCATGTGAAAACACACAAGTTATGAAGAAAATGTAATTATTTGAAATATGTTTCATTTCTAAGACATCAAGTTAAAGATTTACACCAACCAAGAGCACATTGTATTTAACAATGTGCATATATGCATACATGTATGTAGAATAAAATATTACACATTTTCATTTCAATAACTGAGTATAGTTTGAGCTCACATGATATGTTCCTTGTCGTTTTCAATTTTAGTGAGAAGCCAACTTAAAAATAGTGATAAAAAATAGAATGTATTAAACTTTTACCTTATAGACAAATTTGGACTGCTACAACCATTTTGCATGAAAACACTGTCTGGATGAAAACCTGAAGAGCTAGAAGAGTGTGGAACATTAAACATTGAGTATCTTATACCAGACTTGCTATGATTAACATTATTTGATACTTGGTATTCAGATGGGAAACCATTACCAGATATATGGCTATTGAGTTTACCCCCAGAACTTTTCGTAAAGGCTTCTGAGGGATAAAAAAGAGCAGCAGCTATGGTATTTGCCAAATCTTTAATTTTGATTATTCTCAAGATGCGACAAAGTAAGTAGATAGAAGTGACAAAACTACTTTGCATGTCCTGCATTAATGTGCTACCAAACATAAATAAGAACAAATTGCATATTTAACGATCCTGCAACAAAGATGGAAGTGGAAAAAGAGAAATGACAAGGACGTTAAGTGAGGTTTCTTACATTATCAATTGATATCCTCAGAGAAGGAAGAAGTAATGGAAATATCAAAACCATCAGAATGCTGTCAGTAATTAGCCTACCAACATCGGGAATTCCAGCAGAGACAATATCACTGAAGTAGTATAGGTTGTCCTCAATTTCATCTATAGCAACAATAATTGTAGAGGTTGAATCCGGGCCTGGATTTCTGTCTCGATATTCAATAACCACAATTAATCTTTCAAACAAGAGAATCTTAAGCAAATATACCAAAGAGAAATGGATATGCTTACATCATTGTATGAGAAACCAACTTATTTAAATCCATGCTCTGCTTCCTAAAAAATGAAATTAGGTTTGAAAAATAATCCGTGTGAGGTGCGCTGGATATGTATCTATTTACAGAGTCATCTCCAACTGAAAATTGTAAAACATTTATGCATTAGACATTTTAACTTTTCTCGTCATAAAAATTGAGCTCGTGGAGGAAATAAGACAGATGGAAAAAATTACAAAAGAGGACCTATGTGAAACAAAAAATTCTCACCGTGATAAACATTAAGGGTCACAGCTCGTACTGCAGTGCGGACCATGTTCTCCTCATTAAAGGCAAAGCGTATGGCCTCAACATACAATGGAAATGAAACTACTTCGTCCTACATGCATAGAAAGATGCATTAAAGACATTTGGACATCTCAAAAACAAAGCAGAATTATCTCCTCCTCAGACAAAAGACAATAGGTCAACTATATTTAAAAGACTTGCCGGACACAAAAAGTTAACTACATGTTTAAAGAAAATCAATGATCTCACAAGATTTTACTGAAACAAGCTAACAATATTCCAACTTACAGCAGGTTTCTGTTTCCACTTCATCCACCTAGAAAATATTTTTAAAAAAAAAAGTTTTCATTGCATTTTAATCTTTCACTTACCGCTCCTTTCCTTTCTTATCTTTTCCTTACCATCAAATTTCATTAAAGGTATGTTCAAAGAATAAAAACCAGCATCATTTATCCATTTTATAAAGTTAAGAGCCTATAGAAAGCCCCCCTTGAACAGTCTCTTTGACAATACAATTTCAATGCAACAAACATGATATTCACTGACCAATAGTTACGAAGAAAGACTCACAGGATTCCCTCAACAAACATGATATTCACTGACCAATAGTTACGAAGCCTCACAGGATTCCCTCAAGAGCTGCTATTCAAATTATCAGAAGAAAAGACTCGGGGAGCATTAAACTTACACCCTTAATCTTCACAAGCAGCGAAACCGTATTCCTGTTCAACTTTCCACTTATTGCTCTACAAAAATAATAAGACAAACCATCAGCAACATTAAACAAAGAGGGGAACCCAGCAAAAACATAATGACCCCGGAAAACAGGTTCTATGGAGTGAAATCATCAACCACCACTCACCAGTTAAGTAATTACCTTAAAAAGGATATGTAGTAAGACAACAGCTCTTCATTTTGAAAGTCGAACGAATAAGTTATCAAGTAGTTTATATGTTGGTTACTAAACAAGTAGTCTGCAACAAAGATTCAGTAAATAATAACATCATTAAACCGCCAACTTTGTTATTATATCACAATTGAGAACCTAAAGTGTATTGAAACTTCACAAAGTAATCAACCTACATATAGCATGTTCATTCCTTAGGTTCTGAACCAAAATGCTAACTGTTTGCAACAACTGAAGAGGAACACTAACAATCTTGCTAATTTTAAGAATACGAACAAACTCGCCCATGACTTGTTTTTCCATGAAGAATCTGCAATAACACAAGAATACACACAGTACAATAAACTTCCACCACAACAAAAAAACATAGCAATAAACACAAACAATAACGAATCTCACTCAAAATAGCTTGAGTCATGCTGATCGCCATAAGTCATCAACTCCGCAATCGATCTCAGAGCCTCAATAACAAAATCCTTCAAGATAATTCATAAATTAGGGAAAATCGTGAAAAAAAAATTCAAACTCAAATCAAATAAAACCGCAAGCAACTTGATGTAATTTAGTTATAAATTATAGTTATTACCTTATTATCATCTGTAACAACTTGAATTTTCGCCAATTGATCAGTTAAGTAACTGAAAAGTGAAAATCACAACGTAGCAAGATAATGAGAAATAAAATTCTTTCAACTAGGAGTGACTTAACCTAAGATTCATGGAGATTCGGAACGATAACATTTTGAATAAATTTGAATGAAATTAAGCGTAGAAACTGACCTGAGTTGATCCAAGGAGAAACGATCTCTGGATCGCCAGAAAGAACTCCACATGATTGAAGAATCAGAGTTCGACGGTTGAGCTCATCGGTTTCGGAGTTGAAACTGCTCGATGATTCCGAGCAGTCTCGGAGGAAGATCGGAGAGTGAATGCGATTTTGTGTGATCAGTGTGAGGAATGAAGGTTTTAGAAGAGAAAGATTGAGTGGCCGAAAACACTGGTTTTGTGGATTTTTTTAATTTTCGAATTGAAAGGTTGAAGACACCTGTATCGAATTTGGACTTCGAACTGTGAAGGAAAATATATTCAAATAATTGTCGACGTCTTATCGAAAAAATAAATTATGTCGACCGATCTAACTTTAATTAATGATACAATCCAAATTTAATTAATGATACAATATCTTCTCTAAAACGCATTAGAGTGATAAAAAAGGCAAGAAAAAAAAAACACAACTCTAAAGTAAATTGTCATTTTTGTTCCATTTTGTTTCCATTTTACTTCTTTTTTTTTATTAAACTTTGTTTTAGGGATTTTAGAGAATTGAAATTTTAAGTCATGTTCAAGTTAAAAAGGAATAAGTCAAAAAGATACATGAAGATGTTCAGATGCTAGAGTAAAAAATAAGAAATTTTGGCAATAATTAGAGATATTGCAGTAAGGCTGTAATGATCCAAGAAATGTTGGATTTTCAAAATTGAAAGATTTGTATGAAGTAGTGGCCATTACGATCGACCTTTGAAATTTTTGTTTTTTGTTGTTGTGTTTCTTGACTTTTCTATTTTGTGTCTGATATACACTGATATAACCAAATTTAACTACGAATTACTAGTTGTTTTAATGGATTAATGGTTATATAAATATATTGTTGCCTCAAATTAAGTTCTTGTACTCAAACTTTAAAATTTTGCATAAGTTTAGTTTCTCTGTGTTTTTACTTTGTTTATAAAAACTCCAACGGCATCTTTCAAAAAAGAAATTAGAAAGAAGTCTTAACAAATAATATCGAAGAATCAACTTCTGGCATAAGCTTTGAAGAATTTTTTTTCAAAGAAGAAGATGAACAAGTTTGCTTAAATGTTTCTCACAAATAAGACAACTGTGAGACAAAAAAAAAAATTATCATACAAACAACTGTTTAAATTAATTGCTAAGTTAATCAAGGAACATGATCAAAATTGAAAAATATAACTTAGATCTTAAATAAGATGAACAAGATGAATAAGCTAACAATATAAAATCTATGGACAATGGTATATAAAATATAAAATATGAACAAGGATATAAGAACAATGATATAAGTTTAAAGAAAAATAAATGACAAAAAGATAAAAAGCAGAAATTAAAGTTAGATGTTAGTTGTTAATTGTCCTTGATTGGATGATCACGTTTTCAAATCGGTTCCACTTTAGCGCTATGTTATAAAATCGTAGCATAATGTATGAGGAAGATCATACTACTGTTGAAAATTCACCTCACACCCTATGAAGAATTCCCTTCTATCTTGATCTCAAGATTGACGAACAAACCCACAATATGATAGTAATGGTAATAACAAGTAATTATCAAGAACAACAAAAGAAAAGAAGAACACACAAGAAAGAGAAGAATGAGAGAAGAAAATATTTGGAGAGAATGTGTTACCCACAACTGTGGAATTTCTTATTGCTTATAGAACTTTCACTTGCTCAAACTGCAACTGTGAAATCTGTTCTATGTTATTATGGAATACAAAGCAAGGCACCCTATTTATAATTTTAGGTTTACAAAAACCCAAAACATAAAAGACCCAAAATATTAAAATCAAATCTAATCATATCAAATCAAATATATTTAACACAATGAATTATATTTTAACACACCACCTAATTCATTGTGTCTAAACTCTCTACATTCATCATGGCTCTTAGTCTTCTGAAGGCTTCGACTTGCACTCCCTTCGTCATGATATATACAATCTGATTCTCAGTTCTGCAGTGTTCCAACTTCATCTTCCCTTCTGCTACCTGCTCTCGAAGATAATGGAACCTCATTTCAATGTGCTTGCTTCGACCATGTTTCACAAACCCAGCTGGTTGTGCAACATAAACTTCTTCTTCTAAGGGGCCATTGAGGAATGCACATTTCACGTCCATCTGACATGTGTGCCAGTTGTTCATATTTGCTAGACCAACAACCAACCTGATTGTTTCGATTCTAGCAACAGGTGCGAAAACTTCATCGAAGTCGATTCCTTCCTTTTGAAGAAATCCTTTCGCCACAAGTCTCGCCTTGTGTCGAGCTACTTCTCCTTTAGGATTTACCTTCACCTTGTAAACCCACTTTACATCAATTGCCTTCTTGCCTTGCGGCAATTCGACAAGTGACCAGGTATCATTGACTTCGATGGACTCCAACTCTTCAATCATTGCTTTCATCCACTTTGAATCTTTCAATGCCTCAGCTACAATGACTGGTTCGACATCTGCGTAGAAAGCATAATGTACCAACTTACCCTCTTCATCGACTACATCATCTGATGTAATTACACATTCTTGCAACCTTGCAGGCATGTGTCTTGTTCGTCGAGGTCGCCTTGAACCTGCTTCATCTGCAACTGGTTCTAGTCGAGCTTCTATTTCGACTTCAGTGGCTGATTCTTCATAAGAGATTCTCACTGAATCCTTCTTGGCATTCTCAGTCCAATCCCATTCTTTAAGCTCATCTATGATCATGTCCCTGCTGATCACTACCTGCTTATTCATCGGGTCGAACTGCTTGTACCCTCCTGTTGAATGATACCCTATCAAGATCATCTGATTCGACTTATCATCAAGCTTCCTTCTCAACTGATCTGGCACATGTCTATGTGCTATAAATCCAAATACCTTCAAGTGACTGAGACTAGGCTTGACACCAGACCAATATTCTTCTGGTGTGATTCCTTCAAGCTTCTTCGTCGGACATCTGTTCAATATATATGTTGTTGTCGAAACTGCTTCTCCCCATAATTCTTTAGGTAGATGCTTTCCATTCAGCATACTTCTCACCATATTCATGATGGTTCTGTTCTTGCGTTCTGCAATCCCATTTTGCTGTGGAGTGTAAGGTGGCACCACCTCATGCACAATCCCTTCTTTTACACATAGTGTATCGAACTCTTTCGACACATACTCTCCACCACCATCAGTCCTCAGAATTTTCAGCTTTCGACCACTCTGTCTTTTGACCATGGACTTGAATCTGGAAAATACCTCAATCACATCACTTTTCTTCTTGATGAGGTAAGTCCACAACTTTCGACTGTAATCATCTATAAACGTGACAAAGTATCTATTGCCACCAATCGAATCCACCTGGATTGGACCACATACATCAGAGTATATGACTTCAAGTATTTCTTTCGACTTCCTTCCTGCATCCTTGCTGAAGCTATTCTTGTGTTGTTTCGACTGAGCACACTCCTCACAGACTTCACTTGGAATATCGATTTCTGGTAATCCTGAAACCATATTTCTTCTCTTCAGTTCTCTAATGTCATTAAAATTGAGATGACCTAGTCGAAAATGTCATAACCACTCATCTCTGCTGGCTGCAGTTGCTAGACATCTGTGCTCCATCACATTGAGTCCAATCTTGAAGGTCCTATTATGAGACATTGGAGCCTTCAAGATTAATTTACCACCTGCGTCGAGAACTCTCATCATCTTGTCTTCGACAACTACCTTGTAGTTCTTTTCGACAAGCTGCCCTATACTGAGCAAATTACTCTTCATGCCTGGTATGTACAACACATTGGAGATTGTTGACCTTTTGCCATCTTTCCTCATAATCAGAACATCACCAACACCTTCAGCTACTAGAGTGTTGTCATTTGCAAACTTCACTGTGTTCTTCGATGAGGGTTTCATGTTGACAAACCAATCTTTCCTTCCAGTCATGTGTGATGAGCATCCTGAGTCCAAGTACCACTGATCTTGGAATCTTTCTTCATCTTTTGTTGTGACCATTAGCAACGTTTCTTCTTCTTCATGTTTCGCCAGCTTTGCATCAGTCTCTTGATTTCTCTTCCTTTCTAGACAATCACTAAAATAATGACCATACTTCTGGCAATTGAAACATTGAATGTGGCTTTTGTCTGTCTTTTGACCACCACCTCTTCCTTTACCTGCAGCACCACCTCTTTGGTTACCTTGGTTCCAAGGTTTCTTCTGATTCAATTGGTTTCCTCCTTTGTTGCTATTCCAGTTTCCTTTGCCTTTTCTTTCCTTTTCTGTCTGCGCCTGCAAAGCCATATCTTTCGACTTTCCTGCAGCTCTCTCAGTTATCCTCTGTTCATGAGACTCAAGAGTTCCTTGAAGCTCTTCCTTCGTCAACACTGATAGATTTGTCGACTCTTCTATGGCAACTATCACGTGATCGAATTTTGGAGCCAACGATCTCAAAATCTTTGAGACAACTGCTTTCGTTGTCAGCGCTTCTCCACATACTTTGATTTGATTCACCAACTTTGTAACTCTGGTGAAGAAATCTGTAATGCTTTCGTTGTCTTCCATCTGAAGCAACTCATAGGTTTTCTTGTGAGTTTGTAACCTCACCTCTTTCACCTTCTCTGCGCCTCCAAACGACTTTCCAAGAATCTCTCATGCTTCTTTTGCTGAATCAACATCACTAACCTTTTCAAAGTTATCAGGATCGGCACACTGATGAATTATAAAGAGCGCTTTATAATCCTTTTTCTTCAATTCTTTGTGCGCAGCCTTTTTCGCCTCCGTTGCGTTCTCCCCAAGCGATGTTACTCCGTTCTTCACAAGATCCCAAAGATCTTGATAACAGAAAATCACCTTAATCTGCTTACACCAATTCTCATAATTGTCTTTCTTAAGAATTGGTAGGATCGCCGGAAAGTTGTCGTTCAGATAATTCATCGCCATCACTATCTTCCTTCCTTGAATCTCTCAACCGGAGCTCTAGATACCAGATGTTGGAAATTCACCTCACACCCTATGAAAAATTCCCTTCTATCTTGATCTCAAGATTGACGAACAAACCCACAATATGATAGTAATGGTAA